CGGAGCTTAGGGGGCAGATTGACGAGAAGGGGCAATTTTTTCAAGCAGGTACGAATGAAGTCGTGGTCCTTCAACCACGAAACCTCTCTGAGAAAGGGCCAGTGGAAGATTAGGGGACCCCTAGCGATATAGAATCTCTTCAAAGGGTCTACATGGGACCCTTCCAAAGGATACCCCTCATCCCATCCTTGATTAGAAGGTCTTCTCCGAATTCTGTGCAACAAAAACGGTCTCCGTTTGATGTTGCATTTCTGCTCAAATCTCATCGTTTTCACGCATGGTAAACGCAGCCTGGTGATAACAGAGAAACCATGATAGAACAAATGTTGGCTCCTTGCCCGCCATGCATATACTGATAGAATTGTGGCAGTGCAAATATTGAAGCGTCCGATTTTAGAAGCCTACGTTGTGCTGAGTACATAAGGGAGCGGCATGTTGAGAAATAGCTAAGTGAGAATAATCAACACTATCCTTGCGCATGAATTAATATATCACGGCTGTGTATATACATACATTGGCAATTCATTATGAGAGGGTGGGTGGGGCGGGTAATTATGAGGGGAAAGGATTAAGTGGATCTCGTTGTGGCTGACTTCTCCAGCGGTTGAGTTTTTCTTGTTGCAGGGAGGAGGTAAGTGCTGAATCTTGGCGCTTGTGGTTTTGTGCCTCTCAAGGCTAGCAAGTCATTCGTGCAGCCATGCCCTATAAAGCCCCTAAACCCCAAACCCTCAACCCATCTCAACCCTTAACCCTTCTTGCAACCTCAACCACCATGATGAGGACCCAAGAAGAAGAAACAGACGACAGCAGTAGGGCATCGGGCCTCTTTTTTTGGGGTGTTGTGGTAACCCAAATTTCCTTGTAACCCTAGGCTCTAAACAATCCTCAAGTTGATAATCCTCATGCTTGGGGATGCGCGGGGGTTAGAGTTTAGCGTTTTCCTAAGCCCATATCCCTTCCTTTTTCCTTACAGTTGGGCTCGAGCCCGGCTTCTGCTAGGGAAATGGCGCATGTTGGACACACGATATATACACGCACCTAAAACCATAAGGAACACCCTACTTCATCAAGTTCTAGAAGCCGCTATATACCTCCTGTTTCAAGTTCACGTTCCGTGTCCTGTTCAGTTGGAATCCCCATTACTGGGCACATAAGCTTGATCCCTAAACCCTAAAACCTGAAAACCCTAAACTCTCAATCCTAATCCCTGAACCCTAAATGCTACTCCCTACGCCCTCATTCCTAAGCCCTAAACCCTCAATCCTAAACCCTGAACCCTAGGCGGAAAAGAAAAAGAAAAAAAACGGTTCACACGAGAATGCTGCCAGGTAACGTACTCAGCAGCTCGTCCCTGTCGCCAAGGTAGTCCCTCCTGCACAGAGGTCTAGGGTTCAGGATTTAGGGTTTAGGGTTAAGGGTTTCGGGTTTAGGATTTAGGGTTTAGGGTTTGGGGTTAAGGGTTTCGGGTTTAGGATTTAGGGTTTAGGATTTAGGGCATAGGGTTGCGCTGCAGGAAACTAACATGGAAGCCCAACAAGAGCACTATAAAGACTACAGCCCTGGACTCTATGAGTTCCCATGTTATTCTGCGGGAATGTAGGATATTCATATCCGTGCCTGGCATTTGGGCTGAAAGCAATAAACAGCTTATCCCGAACGTCTGCAGCCTTATAGTTGATCAACCCGTAAACGCCGACTCAGCTTTAAGCTGAAAGGTTGCTTTCGGGAATGCACTTGCACCCACAAACCCACACTTCAGAGGTCAAGTTAATTGCCCACGTGATGCGCCGACAATCCTTGTAGAAGAATATACACCAAAACACCATTCTACGTTTTAGGCTTCTACTGAAGGTCTGGGGCTTGTTACTTGGGGGCTTCCACTTAAGCAGGGGCACCTTTCTGGGGACCCCCCGCTGCGAAGCGACCCCTAATTATTTTTGGACACCCTACATGCTGTGCTCTGTAATTCCTATATAACCCTTCTATCCCCGTGAATGAGATCCCTGGTGCTTGAATGCTCCAATTCGTTCTGCCGAGCCCTATACCCCAAACCAACCCTAAAGAGAAAGCGGATTGAGACCACCTGGACGTCCAACCCAGCAAGATATGAGAACCCCCAAAGGACTTCATCAGAGGCCTGCAAGAAACCAACACCCTGCACCAACCACACCAACAACAATGCTAAGGGCGAGAAGAGGAATAACAAGAGCAATCACAACATGAACAAAAACACGACAATGAAGTCATGGCATGTTAACCTTCTTGTCCGGCCCAAACTGCCAAGTTGGCTTGACTATTGTATGCTGTCCTCTGCGACATGGTAGGGCGGCACACAGAAGCGCAAACCTTCACGGGATTACAACAGGAGTTTAAGGTTTAGGGTTGATGTTTGCACGTATTTGCCTCAGGTATCCGTTCATCTCCAGCCCCAACCACTAAGACTTTTTAAAAGTGAGCGGGCATAGGGGTTGACCTTCTTCTCTACATGTCCCAGCAAGAACACCTATAAGTCAAGCCTTACACCCCTTACATCGTATCGTCCAAAACATCCCCCTTATTGGGGTTTAGGGCGCCGTGCATGGAACCCTATCTAACATCACCCTACATGTTGCCGTAAAGCCCCATGTGCCCAAGCAGGAACACATGGGTAGTTCCCCAAATTAGGATCACTTCTTAGCACACCCAAATATGAGACGCGGTACCATAATTTGATACCGGAAGGGGCCATAGTTTTGAGAACAACTCACATGATCTTGTCATGTCTCAAGCGGCTCCACCCTAAAGACAAAAGAACCCTACTCAACCTCCTAACCTTGAAACCTAGTAGGGGGGTTTAGGGTTTAGGGTTGGTTAGGATTAGGATTTGGCGATGTACGCGTAAATCTTGAATCCTGTAAAGCCCATACCCTAAATCCGTTTTCACACCTCAAACGCTAAACCCTAAACCTTATGAACCCTAAAACCTAAACCCAATAGACTGAAAAGGCCCTAAACCCTGAACCCTGAAAAACAACTTAAACCCAAAACCCTAAAACTTTGAACCCGCTACACCCAAACAGCTTATAGACCCCACACCCCTCAAACCCTAAACTTCAAACTTCGGAGACCTTCCCAGGTCCAATCTGCCGATGCGATTTCAGGCCACCACTTCCGACTCCAGGCCTCCTGCTGAGGGGTTATATAGGGATAATGGAAAAGAAAATGGAAACTACTATGTCATTATGAGGAATATATAGGGGCTGTATTATATGGGGTTATATAGGAACCATGATGGAAAAGAGAATGGAAACTACAATTTGCGGCTTGGGGTTTACGTAGGGGATCGGTTTAAGAATGAGGGTTTAGGGTTTAAGGTTGAGGGTTTTGGGTTTAAGGTTCAGGGTTGAGGGTTTAGGATTTAAGGTTTAGGCTTCAGGGTTGAGGCTTTATTGTCTATAGTGTTTAGGGATACTGGACTCCGAAGGGCCGAAGAAGGGAGGATTGAGGTTCAGAAAAACTACAACCCAATGATGGATGGCTCGCAAGGGTTTTGATGAGGCCTAGATAGCTTTTGTAGAACAGATGGTAGAGTTTAGCGGAATTACAACCCGAGTTTAATAGCAATCACAACAGACTATTATAACTTGAATATGAGCTCCCTAAGTCCTCCACTGTGGTTCTTAACTGAGCTATATGCACCATGTAAATGGGCTGTAATTGCCCTGTACCCCCCCCCCCCCCGAGGGTATATGGGATTTCATGAGGGATAGGGTTTAGGCTAGAGGGTCCAGAAGGGTTCCACATACTATTAAAACCTGTACGTGGACCTCTATAGGTCTGGGTTACTTGACTTGTGATGTAGGGTCTCTGATACACACCCTAAACCCTAAACCCTAAACCTACAGGACCTCGAGCTTCAGGAGCCCAAGCCCCAAACCAAGTTCCTTTTTCTTGTCCATTGATTTTTTCCATTCAAAAAGTTTGAGGTTGAGGATTTAGGTTTCAAGCTCCAGGGCTTAGAGTTCAGACGTTGGGGCTACGAAGAGTAGCACTATCGGGTGGGCCCCTCCAGCCCCAACATTTGATGCTTTGTTAGCATCTGCCCCTCACCAATCCAGTGCTTGGTGAGGAAGGCGTGGCAACCCACGATGTTTTTTGAACCGATGGGGCACTGGTCCTAAACTTGACTAGGCATTGAAAAGGATGGGCAATTATTTGCCAAAACCGTGAATCAATCCAGACCCTCTGAGCCATTACTGTACTGCACTAAGGAAAAGCAAGCCCACTTACCGAGGCTGTTTTGGGCTTGGTTTGGGAGGTGTTAATTAGGGGGGGAGGCTTTTGGCTTCGTTTCCTGAAGACAGGGACCAACTGCCCTGTAGAATCATCATGGGGCTACTATGCGCCCCGCTGGTAAATAAGCACTTGTTCAGGGTTATCTTATTGGGGGCCGGGGGCCATTAGAGCTTAACCCAGGCCCGTGATTAATAAACACCCTCCCCTTAATAGGGATTATATTCGAGATCCTAATATTTAGGCCCTTAAAAAAGAAGGGGGTTACTCATCATGGGTCTACATTATTAGGACTTATTAAGGCTTATGGGGCCTTATGCATATTGGGAAGAGGCATGGTCAGTCGATGAGACAAGCCGCCTGCTTCATGTAGCATGTACGCGGTTTAGGGTTTAGGGATGTCCAATGCATGGTAACGGAAAGTCCGAACAAAATGGCCTGGCACTGTGGACACCATACGGTTTAGGGTTTAGGATGATGGCTTGGTACTGTGGATACTATATATAGTCCCCCCTTAAGTAAATAGAATATGGCTTGAGTATACCATAATAAGATCCCCGTATACTACATAGTCTATCTACTTAAGGGGGACTGTAACCCTATAACCCTTACACAAACCTTATTATCCCTCAATATATCCCCCCTACGGACTCTCTAAATCCCCTAGACCCGCAACCCTACAGAATGCCTTAAGACTACACAATGTTGGGGTCTAGATTCGGGTCCCCCTATTCTATGGAAACTACACATCTTCCCACAAGTTCTAGTTGTTTCTGACATGGGCACGGTCTCCTGAACCTCATCCACCAGAGGACCAGGCCAGTCCGCGTAGATCCACCTCCAGCCGAAGACATACCTTAGCCCACATTATCCCAGGAAGAAAAAAGGATCCTTTTTACATGAATACAAGGAATCCCATACCCCAAAAAGCATAAAGCTTCCCTAACATTGATCCAGAAACTCCATGATTTCACCCTCCTCACCCGCATCCCATCCTTCATGGCCTTGCAGAAGAGGGTCGGGACCATAGTATCGGACCATGACAAGCCGCGAGTATGTAGGAGGCGCATAACCTCTTGCAATGTAGATGGGGCGCTTGTGGCGCTCAACCAATCGAGGCAAATAAGTTTCCTTGTGAGGGCCCCATGCAATGCCCTTGACGAAAAAGTCCAGCTCGTCATCGCTTAGGTAGTAAGGTAGGTCGCGGGCATGCGGCCTTTGGATGATTTCAAATACAGCTTTCTGCTTTAGGTTTATATTCTGCCAGACAGGCATAAGCCTGCAAAAGCGAATGCATCAGCGGGCGCAGCTCTCCCTAGCCAGGTTCGTGTAGAAGACGTAAAACTCACTAACATTATCCGCTCATAATCCTTATGCAGCCCTAAACCATATATACCCCTATATAAGCCTTATATAACCCGTATATCCCCTGTAGTGTACCAGCAAACGCCCTCACATCAGCTACCTCAGAGCCAGAAGTCACACATCCGGGACGTCTGATTGCAACAAGATGCCCACGGTTTAGGGTTTAGGGTTGTGGGTTTGGGGTTCAAGGGTTTGGGGTTTAAGAAGCCCTCTGCTCAATGTGACAATGGTTTGGCGTCGAGGATGAGTTAAGGACTGACTGACTGAGAGTTCTTTCTTCTTAGAACTCTATACATCTGTGGCCTGCATTAGCATACCAAGGGCATGTGGTAGTGAGGCCCCATGCCATAATTTCACCTTGAGCTGGCGTTTGGCCTGCTTATACTTGGCTCCTTCAGTACTAAATGGACTTGGAACTCCAAACAGGGAACCCCAAGAATATTCAGAAATATAATAGGAACACAGCAACCAGGGCCCTTATATTCCATTATATTCTACTATATTCTTGGGGTGTTTGGGGTTCTCAGTAAAGTCCCTTTTAGTAAGATCAGCCAGGCTTAGGACGAGGTCCCCGGACAGGTTTGGGCGTCACTGCCAGTGCAGTTATTGCCGATCTCTCAATTTGTATGATGATTGGCGTGGCTACAATCTGGCTGTTACAGAGAGAGCCTCATTGCAAGTTGAGCTAATCTCCAGAATCATGGGGGCAAGCGTTCCTTTGAGTCCTTCCTGTTGCAGGTATGCCTATCGGTGAGGTGAGTTTGGTGACTCGAGGGTTTAGCGGTAGGGGGTTTGGTGCGGAGACTCCCTTTCGATGGGTGATCGTATGAGCTATAATCTAAACTCCTTGAAAGGGATTATACAGGGGACTACTTGGGGGTTATTAAAGCGGATACTAGGACTTTAGACTAGGGCTATAGCTCATATGGCTTTGCATCGAAGAACGTTGTTTTCGTTTTGGCTGAAATGTTTGTGGGCGAAGCCGTTAAACCCTACCCCAAAACCCTGCGGCAGGAATGCAGGATCAAACGCTGCAATCGCTTTCTTTACCACCCCTCCGCCCACCCTAAACCCTAAACCAGTAAAAAAAGACTTGAACACCTTGCACAGCTTCAGTGCCGAGTGGGATTTAGGGTTTCGGGTTCAGGTAGGAATGCACAGAGACAACAATGGTGCCTAACAAGGGTTTCAGGGTTTAGGGTGTCAGGGCTGTAAGAGCTTAAGCACCCTCGTCACCACCGCGAGGGACTCAATTGCTTCAAACCATGCCATCAGGAGTACCTCCTGAAGAGTACAACCTTGACACCCTCTAACCTACCGTACCCTTTCAGCATCAAAATCCCTAAAATCAGGCCGAGGAAGGTCAAAGTAATGCACACTTGGTTCAAAACTTCTGCGAGGTCTTCAGCGGAGAGTTGTCCCAGAGGGTACTTGACAACATGTGGAAAGCGATGGGGACATCCCCAAAAGCCTCTCGAAGATCTGCTGGACATCCTGTACGGGCCTTGATAATTACCAAGATCATTCAAATCTATTTCAAGTACCCTACACCCCTTAAACCGTATACTATATTTGTACAAGGAACTTGGGTCTAATGTCCGTTTGATTCCGCATTACTTGGTGGCAAGATCCCTGAGCCCTATAAACCCTGTAAACCCAAAATCCTGAACATTTGGGCCATGTAGTACTTGGTCCTCCTTCAAATCCAAGCTTAAGGAAAATCCCTCAAAAGTGGCACACAGCCTCGTTAATCGCCCCCTCCGCCAGTTTTCTACGGGAGGCGGCCTGCGTTCGCTTGTTGCTGCTGGTCTTGCTTCTGACAGAACCTGATAAACAAGTATTCAACCCACTTGCATTCCTAAGCCCTAAACCCTGAACCCTAAACAGTTGTTTCTATTTTCTTTTCCATTATCCATATACTCCAGCAACAGAGGAATGTCCCAATAGGCCTGCCCAACGACTACTGGCCTGCATGCACTTCATGTGTCTTTGCCTAAAACACTGGCAGAATTGGTCATGCAAGCCACTGCAACGTTACCACCCCAGGTGCCCGCCGGGCTAAGTCTACTACATTCGTGCTCTGCGTATGTTACCTACACGAAGACACATACGGCAATCATCTCAGATTTCACTTATGAGATTTTAGTTGGAAAGTTATTGTGTAGACTGCTGTCCTGGGGTAGGTTTGAGGTCTCTATAATAAGCGTAGTAGCACCAGGCAGTTGGGTTTCGAGGGTTTAGGACACCAGGCAGGTATGTTACCAAAAGCTGTCGTTGTTTATCAGGGTATCCATAACTTATACTGTAGTATCTGGTTATAACTTGTTTTCCTACCTCGACCCTGAACCCTAATGTAGACCCCTGAGTAATCAATCCCCTCCCTTAGTGAGATTATACTTGAAAGGACTCTAATGGGAACCCCAAACAGAGAACCCCAAGAAAATAGTAGGAATATTGAAAAGTATAGGGACCCTGGTAGGTATATTCCGATTATGTTCCTACTATATTCTTGGGGTTCCCTGTATGGGGGTTCCCAGTAAAGTCCCACCCTAAACCCTAAACCCTTAAATAATCTCATGAACCCCGGCAACTTCAGGCCGACGGCCAAGCCTCGCGCGCACGGCGAGGAAAGTGACGCCTTACAGCTTCTCCAGACTGCAATGTGTGACGACTTCTCCAAACTAGGGTAGGTTAGGGCTTAGGGTTTAGGCTAGGTTTGGGGGCCCTGAATGAATTGAGCGTAATTAAAAAGGAAAATGTTCAAACCTATCCCTGAAAACAGTGAGGAATCTCAGGGAATGAAGGGATGCGAGTGGCCTTGGCAGGCACTTTGCCCAGCCGAGGACGCATCACAAGGAGAACATGTTGGCACTGAGGGGACGAAGGTGGAAGGGAATAGAGTTCAAGGGTTTTGGGTTTAGGACGGGTTGCACTCCTAAAATCGTGGCCCGTTGAGGTTCACAGAATATTGCCCAGTATGATGTTTTCTTGAAATCTAGATTCGGATCCTTGCACGGATCCTACAAACTAGGGTTACAACCCTGAAAGGATATCGCCCTGAAGCATGCGGCTATCTCAGTCCAACACTCATAAAGCCGAGGAGAGCGCTCACCAAGCGCTGCTCGCAGAACTTTCGCCGTCCACTTGCAGCGTGCGCAGGTATATTCGTCCTCGACTTGGTGTTTATTGTTGAGCTAAGGAAACCCATAGGTACCCTCATGAAGGACTTTACAAGGGGCGTTTAAACATTCACTTGGTCCTACAAGGATGCTAGGTTGAACAAGGCATGCTGCGGCCGGACGGTGAGCCCCTAACGGCCCAAATCGGTACCGCTCTAGTCCAGAGGCTGGCCACTATACCACTCCTTGGGTTCTCAAAGACATCTCACATGAGCCCTACAGTGAACCCACAATGATTCCATGATCTTTGTGCATCCCTGTATCCACAGGGTCTCCACATCTTCAAGCCCCACCCCAAAAAAAAAATATGGGGTATGCATGAGGCGGCCATTCTCACCAACATGCCTCCTTCCAGGCATGGGGAGGCCCCACGTGAAGGAGAGTCCATAAAATCATGTATGTACGTATGTATGTATGTATGTATGCATGTAGGTATCCGCGCATGCATGTAAACGTATATAACATAGGGCCCGGCAGAGGACGCCATACACTGAGCAGATCCCAATACAAAACCGAAACAGTGAGCATTACGAGGCATGTACCTTCTACCCTAAACCCGACACCCAAAGACCCTGAACCCCAAACCCTTATCAAACGGTTAAAGCTTTATAGCTCCGATTTCAGACCCCGGACTCTGTCCTGAAGCCACAACACCTATCATTGCTATACCCTAGACCTCACACACCCCACATAACCCGTACAAGCCCTTTGAAGGGTGTTGAAAATGGAATCCTCCTGAAGGTTACCGATGGTTAGGAGCGGCTTCATAGCAGTCTTTGCAAGACTACCTGGGCGTGTTCGGGAGGTGTTGCGCATTTACTTGCTACCATGACAAACTCACAATAGGGTTTGCATAGGGATTATGCAAGGTTTGGGATTACTTGCTCGCTGTTAGATGGACACTACTATATCATGAGATCTGCATAGGGGCTACTAATTATAAGGCTCCACTTCTTCATTCCCTACTACAAGAAGTAAGTTTGAGGCGTCAGGGTTGTGGCAGTTGTGGCTCTCGCTACAGAAAACTTCAGGGGTTTATGCAGTAACTCTCAACCTAGGGCTAGTGGTCTCTATAGACTGGGTTGCCGTTAAGGAACGCAGCTTAACTTACTACATTGGGGAAACCATATTAATGACTAGAACTATATTATATATATATACACCCATTATGGTAACTTAATCTAAGTTCCTTAACAGCAACCCAGAAAACTTGCATGCCATAGTTGTTGATGTCAAAGGAGTGGGGGGTACTTCAAAACACGTTCCTTCTGCGAGTCACCCAAAAGATTTCAGCACCGGTGGGGGTCTACAGGGGGATTCCTGCAACTGGCAAACTTCACTTCTGCGGAACAGCATCATGTGACCCTGAGGACGTCATACATGACCTGTGACACGATTTTGGGCAAAGCCGCAGAAAAAGCAAAGCTGACGCCCTCTTGATAGTAATCTGGGACCTTGGCATTCAGCTTATTTGGACATTGCAAACAACCATTTAAAGTGAGGTCAGGTGAGGCCGCTCAAGTTGGCCCAGCCTGCGAGCCAAAGGGACGTCTAACTGGGGATGGTGCGCAGATTAGCAAACATACCGAGAAAGTCCCAGATAACCACAGATGCCGAAGCCAGTGCCTGACTTAAGG